TTTACATTTACATACTTTTTTTTAATTAATTTCTTGTGTTTATATATTTTTCCTAATTAATTGATCTTTTTAAAAATTTGATACTTGAATTACATCTTAATGGGTGCTTGCATCTGTTAGCTAGACCCATCACCATCGAGGATTAGGCTTTAGGTTGTAGGATTTAGAATTATTGTTAAAAAACTTGGTACAGTGTCCACATTCTCATCTTTTACAAGGTCTTATAAAACCATACACAATTTGACTTCTGTTTGTGATTTGACGTAGGTAAAGGTTGTGTCGCAAATCTGAAAACTTGATTAATTTATTTAAAGTGGAAGGACCCATTTATGGTACTTTAAACTTCTAATAAGATTTATAATTAAGGAAGACTCAGACAAACACTCCTTCATCTTAAATTTACATAGAATACAAATTTTTATTAGGAGTAGGAGTAATCTTTTCTACACTATGAATATATACATTGAAGGATATAGATGTGTGTCACAATATTTAATTTAATTTTAAACACCAAACTTTATATATGTGATATGTATTTAGACCTGTTAATATATATCAACGTGTATAAAAGATTTACCCTTTTCAATAAAATGACACAAGTTTAAAGGTGGGAAAATCTCAATTTGTTTAGGCATGCTTATCCAAAACATATTTTTAAAGAATTCCAATCATAATTTTTAATTCATTTTTTTCACAAAAACATTTATTCACAAAGGTGCTCAGTAAAATATTTTAAAAACAGCATAGCAAAATAATCATCCAACGAAGCTTGACTTATGGTAAGGAGGTGGGAGTTGGCTATAAAATTTTGTCTACCATTTTCAATTACTTTCTATATGTACTTGATTTTAGAAAAACAGAGACTTGAATTAATTAATGCTACTAAAATGATAAGTTTTATGTTGCAAAATGATTACAAAAATTTCTATAATATCAAAATGCTACATCCAATTGCATCTTTTTATCTAGTTAATTGTCATTAAACTTGATAGACTTAAAATGAAAACCTAATCTAGATAGTGAAATTGAAAGAGTCTAATGCAGATAATAGGCTAATCCATGTGTAAAGATCATGCTTACACTCCACAACATTTGAGTGATATCTTAATTAAGTTTAATAATTAATAATAAAGAATGTGAATACTTTTGAATCTTGCAAACTAAAAACTCAAGTTGGTTTTCTTTTTCCTTTGTTTTTTATTCCTTTCTTTTCAATATTAGTAACACAATAAGAAACTAACTCCTTGACATTTGAGTGATATCTACTCCAATAAGAAACAATAATCTTTTTGTGAGAGATTTGGTCAAATTTTAGACGAAGCCTTCATTTGAAATATTGGACAAGTTTTAGTAAAAAGTAATGCAGTCTTTAAAGTTGAGCTTTTGACTAGTTAAGAATGGAGAATGCAGAAACTTGAAATGATCTTTGCATTAACATGTGAGTAATAATAAGTCTTATTGAGCTTCAACTAACTTTGAAATATTAAAATCTAACTCAAATTGGTTTTCTTTTTCTTTTCTAATTCCTTCCTTTTAATTATTAGTAACTAACACATTTTCTGAGCTAATACTAAACAATCTTTTCCTTAGAGATTTGGTCAAATTACAAGAAAAGTTGCCTTACTTTTAAATGTTGGACAATTTCCTAGCAAAATTCATGCAGTAGGATTGGACCATTGAGTAAAATAGGAGACTGAAGAACTTTGAAATGATATTTATTTGCAGTGACATCTTTCCAAAACAGCTATCACAATAAATTTTAGCAGTCCACAAAATCCAACTTTCTCTCTAGTTGCCAATTGTTGAAAAACTACGTTAGAAGAAGCTTTTATATTGAAATGTTCAATAGATAGTTGACTCTTGTTCCAAAGAAAATAAACCAATAGAACAGCATTTGACTTTGTCTTAGTCCAACTTTCTCTTGGACAAATGTTTCTTTAAGGATGGAAAAAATAGAAAGGCAATTTTAAAGGAGTACTTTTCAATTGATGCCTAGATGTCAAAAGTATGCCCTACTCGTCTTTGAATGGAAGAATTCCAATTCATCAAAAGTTCTCTAGAAATTTTAGGCCTTGCTTGGATTGAAGGTTTTCGTCGGAAAATATTATCGTTTTCCGTGATCACATTTCCCTATCACCTTTTTCCCTCACATATATCAAATCGCTACAGTAATTTTTCCATGAAAAATGACGGAAAATGCAATCCAAACACAACCTTAACATTTTGGTTTATAAATTATACCCAGACAGGACTTCATCAAATAACATATTAGTCAACGTAACTAGAATACTACTTTTCCTTTTTATTTTTTCCTTTTTCTCTTTAATAAAAAACAAGAATATATATATTTATTAAGAAATATTGAAAAGGTCAGCCAACAGAATAGTCAGAACAAAATCTGGTGCATCAAGAACTATAGAATCTTTTGCCTAAAGTAAAAAGTTGTTGAATTACATAGAAATTTCTCCATTGACTTAAAAATGAAGACGGTGAGTAGTAGGCGAAGAAATTAATTTTTAGGTTGACAAAAAAGTTTTATACGCAATATCAAGTCAATGATAGCACAGACTCAATCTTTACTTAATTTGCCAAAATTGCCACTTCTTGTCTTAGAACTTCTCTTTTGTATGGCATTTAGAAAGATAAATTGTTTATTATCTCCTTAATACTTACATCTAAGAATAACTACAAGTTGGATTTTTTTTTTTAACCATTTGAATAATTCTACTACTTTTATTTTCCCCTTATTTTGAGGCATATTAATTTGCTTTTCCTATGGACACAATAGACCACCTCATTGTTATTCTTTCTTGGGCTAAGAAATGAACAAAGTAGAATGGAGATATAAAACCCTTCTTTTTTTTTTTTCCCTGAAACCTATGAATTTCATTTGTGAATTAACTTTATTAACTGAGGAATCAATAACTAGACACAGATTTAACGACAAAGATTTATTTGCACAATATGGTATCTAAACTTATATTGCTCTTGAAAATTTCTATCTTTTTTTTTTTTCCAATTAATCGATTTACATGCATCTGGTATTCCCAAGGCCTTCAAAGTAGATTTGGGCCGATGGAGTCCACATACAACTCCTCTATGCTAATTCATCGATTTGGGTGGGCTGATCCCCATGGTCCGCACAACTATCTAAAAACTTGGGCCTGCAATTTACAGAGATTCGTAAACGGGGTCATGCAGAAGAGGCCTGAACTCCGTAGTCGTATATAGGGGTGTGCAAAATCGAAAAATTCCGATTTACCGACTGAATTCGAATTGAATTCGAAATTTCGAATTCGATAATTCGGAATATCCGATTTCGAATTGGTCGAATTCGGTAATGAGATTTTTCAAATCGAAAATTCCAATTTCGAATTCACAATTCGAAATCGAAATCGAAATCGGAATTCAGAATTCCTATTTCGATTTCAAATCTGTTTTTCATATATATATATAATATATAATATAACATTTATATTACAATAATAATTTTTATATTCATGAATTCGGTGAAATCGGAATTTCTATTTCGATTTCACACACACACATATATATAATATTTTTATATATATATGTAATATAATTTTTATATAATAATAATAATAATTTTTAGATTCATGAATTCGGTGAAATAGGAATTTACCGAATTCGGAATTGAATTCGAAACGAATTCGAATTCGGAATTGGTGAATTTGAAATCGAAATCGGTCGAAAATTCCGATACCAAAATTCCAAAAAATTCCAATTTCAAAGTTCCGAATTACCGATTTCGATTTCGATTCACACTCCTAGTCGTATACTTCTGCAGGTGAAAGATCAATTCAGTCGATTAGGAAAATTATTCAGTCAACAATAGAGTCCCCGATTCCATCCTTAAGCCTTCTTCTCTTACTCTGATTTGGAATCTCTCTTGGACCACAACAGAATTTTATATTTTTGTTGTGTGAAGATAATAGTAATAATTGAAATCACGTTCAGAATGAATTTAATCTTTAAGCACTGTTTGAAAAGTCTGATATTGGTGCTTAAAATTTTAAATGGTGCCATTTTTGCATGGAAAAGGGGGAAAGCTTCCCTAAATGTTCTCTTTTTTTGTTTCCTTTTAATAAGGTACCCGAAATGCTCCATTTTGCCATACTACTTGCATTGTTTTGAAACCCAGGTTGGACTGGTCGGTTGGACGGTTTGACCGTTCGGACCGTGAACCAACCATTATTATAGTTTGTTTCATACTTTGGATTGATTGAACCTAAGAACCGATGCGAACTATTCGAGTTGGAATGAATTGTTGAATCGGCAATTTTTTTTACTACTAAATTGAAAAAATTAAAAATAAAAGGAAAAAAAAGAATAGGTTCGCCTTGACCTTAAAGACTAATTACTAAGTGTCACATTCACTCAATTTCTTTTCAACTTTTGCCTCTTATCAAGTTTTGGACTCTACTTTCTAGTTCTTGACTTCCTCCAGGCTTCAAGTTCTTTTTTTAAACAAAGTTGCAATCTTTAATTCCAAAAGACATGGCTTAAAGTTTAAATTCACAATGTCTAATTCCCAAATACATGAATTTTATTTAATTTAAGAATATTGTGCTACTTTTGGGTAGGATTTAAGATTATTTTTTGGTAGATACAATTAAGATAAAATTTATTTGTTTAAACTTATAATTTAAAATAAAAAAAATTTATTTGTGAAAGTCCAAGTTCTTATATATTAAACTTTTTATCAGATAAAGCCTTAAATTGGTCCATTGAATGTCTTATTCTATGCACATATATTTATATAATTTATTTTTTAAAAAATTCATTGAACCAGGATTGAACTAGTTGGACCAGTTGAACCGTAACAACTCCCCGGGTACGAGTTTGATGATATGGAGTCAAATGGTATATTACTAAACCTACACAGGGAATAATTGCTCTGATATGACGAGACGATGTTCTATTTCTACTAAGAGCAAATTCTTGGAGCTATTCCCATAACGTAAGTTGCTTTAACCACAATGCTCTTGCACGGTGATCTCGCCGTCAGAGGTGACTAGTCAAGTAAAGATCATGATCTTCCGTTACCTGACCCAAAATAGACATAGACATAGACATTTTGCATATTGAAATGGAATAGTATTAAGAACCAAAATTGGATGAATTTATAAGAAACTGAGGTGAAACCAGGCCTGTAAGGGACATGACATTTATGGCACTATTGCATGCATTTACTATGAAACAACGTTATGGTGTCTTCTAATTACTATATGACATGTTGTATACTTGTATATGTGTTACTGAATGTTTGCCTTGTGAACAATGTGGATTCTACTCAAAAATGGTTTTGCGTGCTTCTCATCTTTACTGTGGTGTTAGACTTTAGTGCAGTTACAATTGGAAATGGCAAGATAGAAAAGAGAGGTCGGGTGGTGATGCTAGTGGACATAGAGGTGGTGAAGGGTTTGTTGGAAGAGATTGACGAGGTGGTGTAGGTGGAGGTAGTGGAGGAGTTGTGGGTGGCTTAAATAAAGGTGGAGGGTTAGAAGCAGGTGTTGGTGTTGGTGTTGGAGGAGGGTTTGGTGGTAGGGGAGGTGGTGGTAGCAAAGAAGGGTTAAGTCATGGCAGTGGATTTGGAGCTGGTGGAGGACTTGGTGGCAGTGGAGGAGGAGGAGGTGGTGGCCTTAGAGGTGGCTTGGGTCATGGAGATGGACTTGGAGCTGGTGGACATGTAGGGGAAACTGGTGGAGGTGAAGGGAGAGGAAGTGATGATGAAGGAGGAGGAGGAGGCGTTAGTGGTGGCTTTGGGCGTGGACAAGGATTTGGAGTAGGAGGGATTAGGATATGGCATTGGAGGAGGAAGAGGTGGAGGTGGTGGCAGAAGTCTTGTAGGAGGTTTTGGGCATGGTGGTGGATTTGGTGCAGGAGTAGGAGGTGGTATAGGTGGCAGTTTAGATGGTGGAATTGGTGTGGCAATTGGAGTTGGAGTTGGTGTAGGAATTGGCGCTGGTTCTGGCAAGGGTGTTGGTGTTGGAGGTGGTATAGGCGGAGGGGAGGAATTGGTGTGGGAATTAGAGTTGGAGCTGGTGTAGGAGTTGATGCTGGCAAGGGTATTGGCGTTGGTAGTGGAGGAGGAGGAGGAGGCGGTATAGGCAGTGGAGGAGGTGGTGGTGGCCATGGAGGTGGAATCGGTGCTGGCAAGGGTGTTGGTGTTGGTAGTGGTTTTGGTAGCGGCGGAGGAGGTGGCGAACGGTAAAATTCTGTTGCTCCGTGTAAACAGATACATAAAACAATCAACACCTCATCTAAGCAGATACATAAACAATTTGCATGTTTTTGCGTTCTTATTTTGGTGTTACTCAAATATGCTGCAAAAAGACTTATATAAATTGATTACGCACTGGTGATTACTTTGTATTACCACTACGTTTAAGCCAATGCAATCCAATTTCTTCTGCACCCCAAAAAAAAAAAAAAATCCATGCCATAGCTACCTTCATCCGGTTCAATTCCTTGTTGTGCAAAACAAAATCGTTAGTTGAAAGTTAGCATGGTATGCATATTCTTTGTCAATGAAACAATAGAATATGCAGAATTGAAATGCAATTAGAGAGTCAAATGTGTCATCAACTACCAATTTCTAATATTCGGACTCACCTCAAATTGGAATGTTCTTTCTTCAATGTATGTTATGACATCCATCCTAACAGCCTCTGCTCTTTTACCTATCCAACAATGACAACGGCTTCCTTGAAAAAAACTTCTGTTTGGTGTTATCAACTAATTTGACATCTATATCAGCTTTACATCCTCAATATTGAAAGGTACATGTACAAGGGCTTCTTCACCCACTAAACTGGTAGCAAGGTGTAAAATCTCCCAGTCATCCAACTACGATTGCCAGTAGAATAAAACATACGCTTGATTGTGCAGCACTTCCTCATCAGAAATGGATGTCACAGATTGATCATCAAATCGTAGCCACTTTCCATTGAGAAGGCGGGCATCTGCAGTATAGTGGCCCTTTGAAGGGTCCATACCATGATGAGTTATAGTTGCCACAAGTTCATATCTTCTACCCTGTACCAAAAACATATAAACCACAATCTAATTAAAGAAATACCCATAGGAATTATATATAAACATGTCTGTATGTCATCGAAACCCATCGCAATTACATATATTACTAAATTTCAGGAACTCTTTCGGCAGATTTTTACATCAGCTTTATTCTGAGGATCATTTCTTCATTATTTTAAAAGAAACAGAGTTGCAATAACGACTGAACTGTATTTTTTTATTTCCGTAGTTTTGTTGAAGAGGTCATTCAAGGGACTGCAAAATGGAAACCTCAATTTAGCAACCAATGCCCCCCAGCTCCTAGATATTCGGCGAGAGCAGTATAGGGTACAGCTGCATGAATGTAATTAAATATTTGGATACAAATGGGGATGTGAGTACAGAGTAATTTGTCTAGTTCAACATTTTTTCTAGAAATGTTTACCATCCAAATAAAGTATCCAACCATTGGAGAAAGACAGGCATATGAAAGGTAATACGAATAGCTTTATGCTTCACAATACAACAATGTTAAGCTAAAAGATGTCCTATTTAGGTTTATGGCGGAGATATCTGTGCTATGTGCCATTCCTGATACTCATTCCTCGTCTCAAGTGCCGAAATTGGCACTCGCTGCAGTCTATAACTAAGCAGCAACATAAGATATGACAGGGACAAATGGATCAAGCTAGACTAAACCCAAAACAGCAAAAAGCTTTTCTCATTCACTGGAGGTTCATTATTTAAGAGACTCTTTTAACTCCACGGAAATGGATAAAAGCTCTATGTTACAGGGAATCATAGAGCACTTCCATGTCATGGGGCAAAGAAAAGCACCTTTTCAAGATGCCTCACAATATATAAGTGGGTAAAAGAGTTACATGACGTCAAACAAAAAGGCAAGAAAATCTTTTCAAGAATAATACAGGATATCCACAGAAACGTTAATAAGAACCGCCAAAAAGACACAAGATGTAACTTGAAAAAAAATTCAGCAAAAGCCACAGTGGTAATAATGCTTCACTACAAAATAATGGAGCAAATAGAAAGTGTACCTCAGAAGTAGAGACAAGCAATTCACGCCCAAGAACAAGCTCCAATGGGAAGCGTATAGGCTTATGCAATTTTGTACTTTTCTGGCCCTCGTAGCTGAATCGCATCAAGTGCAATACCATTATCTTTGAGAGCCCCAGAATTTTAACTGATTTGCTAGCATTAACCACCTCGGCCTGAGACTAATCATGTATCCTCGTGCAATCAGTACATAATTAAGGTTAGTTATCTCCATTCTTTGAGTTGTTTTTTATTTAAAAAAAATTATAACTACCACTAGAAACCGTCTTCTAACAAATGGAAGACATGAAAGACCAGGCAGAAACTATAAGAAGAACAAGCTCTTATATTTTAAAGAAAAAGAGAGGAAAAACTCTTAATTTCATTATTAAACCTAACCAGGCACACCATGGTGTCAAAACACTAGAATCAGTAAAATAAACACAACAGAATGCATCACAATAGATGAGACAAGCATCTGATACAAACAATTTGCTTGCAGCCATAGTGGAAAAGGGGCATCTGTCTAAAGCCAGGGATACAAGGAACAGCAATGTTCACATGTGGTACCATACGGATGGGTAGGGGGTACGTACGGACTGTGTTGTTGGTGCAACTGTGCAAGCCAGCATCTGGCACATCTAAGCCCAGAAATGAAGCATCATGTCTATAAATTCCTTTGATATCTGTTCTTCAACCAGCTTTGCTGCCTTCCACTAGACTTTTGGTTCACTTTGTAGTTTTGGTACCACGATATAAGATCAGTATGTGCTGCAACCCATCCATCAATGTGGATGCCAGCAATGACATTGACCTGATAGCTCTCGAGTTGCTTTCCACTCGCATCAGCCCAGAATCAATGTCAATCAACCCTATCTATCCAAGTTCTTTCTCCATGGTCACCAAGCTTCTCGATTCCCCCAAAACCTCAGTTTTGTATTCTCTTATTATTTTCCTGCTCTTTGTTTTCTTGTAATATGAATCTCTTCCTCTATTGCTCTTTATCCTTTTGTTATCTTTCAGGATGATTCTCTCTTCATTCTACTTGCATTATATTCTGTGTCTTGGTTTACTTCTACTCCACAATTTCCCTTCAATTAGTTGTCCTATCATCAACTTATCCTGCTCTTCCTTTCGTTCTCTCCATTTCTTACTTTCTCAAAGCCTTTTATATTCTTAGTGCCCAGTTGACACAAGTTCATTTCTCTTATTATAACTTATTGGAAAAAGCTCCCAGATTGATTAACTGGGCTTTATTAGCAATTACCTGCTTAAGCCTGTTTTATTCACATCCAGTTACAATTCTCTCAGAAGGAGCCTCGTGACCCTGTATTGCTAGAAACGGATGTGCATCCCGCATCAAGTTGCATCATCTAACAGGCCTGTTTTCATTTGATGGTGTTCCTAAACTTTACAGTTGCTACTTTAGGAGCAAAGTCCTTGTATTTCTAACTGAATGCAGTAAAAGCCTAGTAGAACTACAATTTCAAAACAATCACCAATTTCAGACTAGCTTAAACAAAACAACTGACACAAGAACTCCTGGTTTCCTTTTCATTTAGGGTTTTCACCCCACTAACGTTATTCTGGATAGGGATGCAAACAGCGCATAAGAAGAAATATAGCTTCCAGGTTTTAAGTATGAAACAAAATGAGTACTAAAGCCAAATAACTTTCAGTGGACAGAAGTTTCAAACTATTCCTTCATTCTACTAAAACCATGCATATCATGTTTATCATTACACATGGCCAAAGAGACACACCATGATTTAGCATCCCAATCCTATTACTCTGAAGTCCAAATTGTCTAATGTTGATGATGATGCAATAACATTAATATCTTTTTTTTATCCATGGCAGAAGGAAATAAAGCTAAAACTGTAGAAGGTCTAGACCCAATAAATTTCAAGAATTTACCTTTCCAACTGCAGAGGTTCGATAACCTTCAAGGGTCTCTGGAGCAGAAAACAATTTTAGTGCATCTTGTATGGTACAGACAGGATCTGGACAGATATTAAGGTGGAGTAAAAGAAATGGTTGTATAGTAGCTGATGCCTTACTACCTACAAAACCGAGTAGACAAGAATATTATAGACGCCAATCTGATAAGCATAAATGTGAAATCCACACAAATAAAAACGCACCAGTGAATATTATGATGAAGTTAGAAAAGGCATCAACAATTTAAACAATTTTTAAGTTAAAAAGTTGGAAATTCAGTGATAATGAGGAATGTACCATGGGGCTTATCATAAAAATTTGTATGAAAAAGGCACCCATCATACAAATTCATAAACCGTTTTTCATTTTTTTAGAACATCTTAAGGCGCAAAAAAGGATCCCAACTAACTTATTCTCTTATAAAACACCCAATCACATCAAAAAGCTTGAAATTCAAATTTACATAGATGGGCATTATCCAAAAAATCTTTACAGACAGCAGGATTCAATCAAGCACGATGGTGAATCCAAAGACACAAAGCAAGAATACTCTAGTTCAGGTACATATTACATTAAGTAGGCCTGGCAAACAAAGACGTCCGTTAAATAACATCAGCCACACCCTTTTCAAGCACAGAGGGCTAGATACAAAGTAAATCATGCAGGATTAAGTTCGGGAAATCTGTCTTACTCAGGCAGGTGGAAGAACTAAGGTAATTTGCGAGTCGGTGACTGTTTTAGGACTTTGAATAATATCCTTGAATGGTAAGGAAGAAGAAAAGAATCCAATTGAGCTAAGGACTCACCTACAACTGAGATGCAAAATTTTTAAAATGAAGTCCACTGCTACCTGTCTATTTCCAGTGGATATTCTTTTTAAACTCGAATGGAAAAAATTAAAGCAAAAATGTTTAAACTTTAAATGCAAAGAGCAAACCATATTTTTTAAAATTTTTTGACCCCTAAAGTTACTAAGATTATGGTCCAATTTCATTTACTAATCTCATTTTTTTATACAAAAATCGATCGAAGTTATAGAACTTCTATTTTCAACTACAGCAAGAAATGAGCAGATATAATATTCAGATTTAAAGTTGTTTTTTAAGGGTAAAAGCAGACAACTCTGACAATGATTACAGAGAGGAGATAATGGGAAATATCTACCAGCAACAGGTTTATGTCATCAACGAATCACGAATTGCT